TCTCTCTCTCTCTCTCTCTCTATATATATATATATATATATATACACGTATATATATTTTTTAATATTTACATGTCAAAGATTTTTAGGATTTGTGTCTTTCAATGTGTGTACATTTGACCTCACAAAAAACAAAACTGAAAAAAATAATGGAGGATGGACAATGGGTTGATCAGAAATGGCCGAAGTAGAGAACTATAGGTGAAACAGGAATGGCACGTGATTAGTAGTTCTTGAGGCTTCATGACATATCTATTGAATTCTTTTTGTTGTTGTTGTTGTTTTGCATTTGTTTAAATTTTAGGTAATAAAACACTTGAATAAAAACACAAAATTGATCCACTGCGTATATATACACACACATATCAAAGTCATGAAAGACAAAGACAAAGACTTAGGAACTTTTCTGGATTGAAGGACCTATAGAAACATGACAATTAAATGCAATGTATGTTGCTGGGTTAGATCTCAGACTAGGAAAAAAGTTATTATCTTGCTATAGAGGGGAATAATTGGTAAAATCTGAATACGAGCTATAGATTATAGTATTGTGTCAATGTCAATTTCCTGATTATGAGACTTGCACTGTGATAATATGAGATGTTATAGTTTTTAGTAAACCCACATGGAAATATAGGAGATTATGTCTCCAACTTACTCTCAAAGGGTTTACAAAAAAACATGTGTGTGTGTGTGCGTGTGTGTGTAGATGGAGAAACTATGATTAGGTAAACACGATACCATGTTAACATTTGGAAGAGTGAAAGTATATGGGAATTCTTTGTACTTGCATAATTTTTTCTGTGAGTCTGATATTATTTCAACATAAAAAGTTTAAGAAAAAAGGAGACCCAGATCACCAGAAGAGTAGATCTGGATCTCTTCACTTTATATTATATTCTTCTCATTTCAGCTCATCTGTTAACTTTTTCAGTGATACCTTAAAAGGCATGGCCCTTTAACTGTACAACGTGATGATAATTTACCTTGCTGACAAGGTTCCACAAAAAAGTCTTAGTTGTATGTTATGCCCTACATATCTATCTACTCTCCCAGGCAGCAAACCTTATGTTCTGGACTTTTCCCTCCCACGTCACGTACTATCCGATCGATGTCCCAATCCCTCAGCAACCTGCTCCTGATTTTCTGGTGTAACAACTACATCTAGGTAAATTAGGCTTTGATTTAGTTATTCACCTTACATATGGCGTTAAAATATAGCCTAATATATTTCACTGCTGTGTTCAAGACTCCTTAATCTTTAGTCTAGATCAAAAGAGTGATTGAGGAAAGGAATTTTCAGCCAGGAGGAGATAGTGATAACCTAATAGGTGAGACTCTAGAAATTATACAGACAAATTTTCAATCTAGTATTGGACTAGATGGGAATTCTTCGACCTGGTCAGGCAGGCTTTTTTTTTTTTTAAGAGATGGGGTCTCACTATGCTGCCCAGGCTGAGGTACAGTTGCTATTCACAGGCAAATCATAGCACATTACAGCCTCTAACTCCTGGGCACAAGCAATCCTTGCTGGAAGCCATTTTTAAACTTAGGGGACAAGCTTGGATCAGGACATTTGAACATCTTCCTAATTCTAAGCTCAGTTTTCAGTGTAACTGAGAATGATGCATTGATCCTAAATTTTTAAATTGAAGATATTTAAATAAATCTTTTACATTATAGAGAAATGCTTTGATCCTAAATTTTTAAATTGAAGACATTTAAATAAATCTTTTACATTATAATGTGTGGTCCAAAAATTAAGTTGGTGGGAAGCTGATTTAAAGTAAAAAATTCACAGATGAATCCTAAGTGCCAAATATTAGTTGAAGCCTGAATATTTATCCTGATATATACCTTGACTCATAATCCACAGCATATGGTAGTATATGGCAATTTATGCTGTAATAATAAAAGAAGCTCCAATTCCCAAATCATCACTTGCTTAAAATTAATTTCCTTTTATCCTGTCCTCATAAAAGCTGTGTTAAATATTGAACATTTAAATAGCTAACCCAGTCTCACCTTTGTTTCTAATTCAGAATTCTCTTTTTGCAATAGGTCCCATGCTATTAAAAAATGGTCTCTGCTTTCTGATGCCCCTGGAAGACTGTGAACTTCATTATAAAGGCATATGAGCTCTGACTTTGATTTTTGCAATTCCTGATTAAGAAATGAAGACATTTAGTAGAATAAAATAAGATGATTTTCCCTATAAAAGACATAATGCTTTAAGAATGAATCTTGAAACGGTCCTGATAAATTTTTTGTTTTAAATATTCCAAACTATCCTTCTGGCAGACCAATGCCTTTCTTAGTAGTTAAAACAAAGTTTACATAAATCAATTAAATAAACTGAGCATTCTTAGTTTCTATCATTCACAGGTTTAAAGATTTAGCTTCTAGAGTCCTTCCTACTTTAAGCAAGGCTTATATGGAGGTAAACTCTTTAGCAATGCTTGCAATGACTGCCAATAGTTATATTATGTTTCTAAAATGTATCGTTTTAGAAGTACCATTTATAGAACAAAGTGCTATGTGGTTTACCTTTAATGTTCTGACAACCTTATAAGAGAATTGTTGAATGTAAGGCCCAGAGATCTTAAGTGATCTGCCTAAATTCACATAGCCAGGAAGTATAAAGCTGAGATTCCAAATCCATAAATCTGTCTGACTTTAAGCTCTGGAGTTTATTTTTTTTTTAGAGATGGAGTCTCGCTGTGTTACCCAGGCTAGAGTGCAGTAGCCATTCACAGGTGTAATCACAGTGCACTACAGTTCTCAACTCCTGGGCTCAAGCCATCCTCCTGTCTCAGCCTCCCAAGTAGCTGGGACTATAAAGGTGCCATGATGCACAGCTTAAATTCTGTTTTCTAACTACAAATTATGCTTATTTAATTATATTTAGTGACTTAATTAATCAAGGTTTGCTTTTTTTCTTTTTTTTTTTTTTTTTTTTTTTACAAATGATGCATCAAATGAGCTTCTTTATGCACTGGCCTTTGTCTGATTTTAAGATATATATATTGCGTTTTAGGTTTTGGGGTACATGTGAAGGACATGCAAGATTGTTGCATAGGTAGACACATGGCAAGGTAGTTTGCTGCCTTCCTCCCCATCACCTATATCTGGCATTTCTCCCCATATTATCCCTCCCCAACTCCCCACCCCCTGCTGTCCCTCCCCTAGTTCACCCTGGCAGACCCCAGTGTGTGATGCTCCCCTCCCTGTGTCCATGTGTTCTCAGTGTTCAACACCCGCCTATGAGTGAGAACATGTGGTGTTTGATTTTCTGTTCTTGTGTCAGTTTGCTGAGAATGATGGTTTCCAGGTTCATCCATGTCCCTACAAAGGACATGAACTCATCGTTTTTGATGGCTGCATAATATTCCATGGTGTATATGTGCCACATTTTCCCTGTCCAGTCTATCATCGATGGGCATTTGGGTTGGTTCCAAGTCTGTGCTATTGTAAACAGTGCTGCAATGAACATTCATGTGCATGTGTTCTTATAATAGAACGATTTATAATCCTTTGGATATATACCCAGTAATGGGATTGCTGGGTCAAATGGAATTTCTATTTCTAAGTCCTTGAGGAATCGCCACACTGTCTTCCACAATGGTTGAACTAATTTACCCTCCCACCAACAGTGTAAAAGTGTTCCTATTTCTCCACATCCTCTCCAGCATCTATTGTCTCCAGGTTTTTTAATCATCGCCATTCTAACTGGCGTGAGATGGTATCTCAATGTGGTTTTGATTTGCATTTCTCTAATGACCAGTGATGATGAGTATTTTTTCATATGTTTGTTGGCCTCATATATGTCTTCTTTTGTAAAGTGTCTGTTCATATCCTTTGCCCACTTTTGAATGGGCTTGTTTGTTTTTTTCTTGTAAATCTGTTTTAGTTCTTTGTAGATTCTGGATATCAGCCCTTTGTCAGATGGGTAGATTGCAAAAATTTTTTCCCATTCTGTTGGTTGCCAATTCACTCTAATCATTGTTTCTTTTGCTGTGCAGAAGCTGTGGAGTTTGATTAGGTCCCATTTGTCTATTTTGGCTTTTGTTGCCAATGCTTTTGGTGTTTTAGTCATGAAGTCCTTGCCTATGCCTATGTCCTGAATGGTTTTGCCTGTTTTTTTCTAGAGTTTTTATGGTGTTAGGTCTTATGTTTAAGTCTTTAATCCGTCTGGAGTTAATTTTAGTATAAGGTGACAGGAAGGGGTCCAGTTTCTGCTTTCTGCACATGGCTAGCCAGATTCCCCAACACCATTTATTAAACAGGGAATCCTTTCCCCATTGCTTGTTTTTGTGAGGTCTGTCAAATATCAGATGGTTGTAGATGTGTGGTGTTGCCTCCGAGGTCTCCTTTCTGTTTCATTGGTCTATATCTCTATTTTGGTACCAGTACCATGCTGTTTTGATTACTGTAGCCTTGTAGTATAGTTTGAAGTCAGGTAGTGTGATGCCTCCATCTTTGTTCTTTTTGCTTAGAATTGACTTGGCTATGTGGGCTCTCTTTTGCTTCCATATGAAGTTTAAGGTGTTTTTTTCCAGTTCTGTGAAGAAAGTCATTGGTAGCTTGATGGGGATAGTGTTGAATCTATAAATTACTTTGGGCAGTATGATCATTTTCACGATATTGATTCTTCCTAACCATGAGCATGGAATGTTTCTCCATCTGTTTGTACCAAGGTTTTCTTTAATCCTCTCATGTTTTTTCTCTTTCTCTTTTTTTTCTGTTTTGAGACAGGGTCTCACTCTGTCACCCAGGTTGGGGTGCAGTGATGTAATCACAGCTCACTGCAGCCTTGACTTCCTGGGCTCAAACGATCCTCCCACCTCTGCCTCCTGAGTAGCTGGGATCATAGGCATGCAACACCACACCTGGCTAACATTTTAATTTTTTGTCTGTGGAGACAATGTCCCACTATGTTGCTCAGGCTGGTCTCAAACTCCTAGTGATCCCCTTGCCTCAGCCTCCCAAAGTGCTGGGATTACAGGTGTGAGCCACCATGCCCAGCTTGATTTATATGTGTATATATATACACACATACTATATATATACACATATACATATATATACACATATACATATATATACACATACATACAATATATATGTGTGTGTATATATCCACGAGAGAAAACACTTTGGCTAAATGCAGATTTTTATCAGATTTTTACATTGATGACATAGGATGTTCACTGATTGGCTGGTGAAAGAATTTGGGTTGAGAGTCAGTCTGTGGTGCTCAATGAAGGGAATAGGCTATAAAAATTCTCTTTAGGAGAGGAGCTACTTGGTATTTTCCCAAAGCCTTGAGGTCAATGTGGGAGGTAAACGCTGATTAGAAAGACTTAGACAAAAAGGCAAGAAGGTAGGCGGTGGCCTCCCAAAACCACAGGAAGAGGATAAATGACATCGATTTCCTATCTCATGTCACTGAAAATTCCTGTAGGTCATTAGGATGAGATTAGGGGCATTGCAAACTACAAACTGATTGAGTGTCACTGTCCTCTAAATTATTGATTTAGACTTCCATGAACTCACATCCAGGTCACTCTTCAAAATATAGGCTGATTACGTCTCCTGATAGATCTTTCCATGATGGCAGGACAAGAGGTTAAAACAAGAGATAAGTCCATGACTCTATGAACACTGTAACAATCAAACATCTGCTAATTAAAGTACACTTTGATTAGTGCTGGCACTCAGCTTAGAGAAACAACAGAGCTACCCCATTATTATTATAGAAACACATATTCTATAGTGTTATAGATTAGATTGTGCTCTCCCTCCCTATCCGTATTGTTGAAGCCCTAATCCCCAATATGAATGTATTTGGAGATAGATAAGGTTGATAAGGAAGTGATAAAGGTCAAATGAGGATATAAGGGTGGGGCCTTAATGCAATAGGGTTAGTGCCTTTATAGGAAGAGGAAGAGACACCAGAGCTTGCTCACTTTGTCATGTGAGGACACAGCAAGAAGGTGGCCATCTGCAAGCCAGGAGGAGAACCCTCACCAGGAACTGACTTGGCTGGCACCTTGATCTTGGACTTCCCATCCTCCTGTGAGAAAATAAAGTTCTGTTGTTTGAGCCACTTAGTCTGTGGTATTTGGCTATGGCAGCCCAAACTGAGATACACAGTTATACTTTATTTTAAAATGATAACATGAAATCACTAAATTAGAACTACAAGAAGAAGAAGACAACTTCCTGAATGGTAATACCTCACTTTCAACTTTCAAGGCCATCTCGGCAGTGTCAAGACCAAATGCCAACTGCTTCTCTCTCTGTCTCTCTTTTGACCACTTACTTTCAAATATTTCATTTTTTTCTTGGCTCATTTTCAAGATCTGTAAAAAGCATTTTACATAATTAATTTTATATATAATAGCAGTGTTTGCAACACATTCTGATAATAACTTTCTAACTCAACAATAAAATCATCTAGGGGACTTATGAACCTAGGAAAACTAGTTTATAGCTCATAAGATATGTTTTTCTCTCCAAGTCTTAATTTACACAATGGTAAAATGTAGTAACACTTGTTCTACCTACATTATAGCCATCACAGTAGGAATGAAATGTGATTTTGAAAGTATTTTATAAAATTTAATCACCTATCAAATATAAGGCATTATTGAAATCTTTCCAAATTATTTGAAAATAATAAAAATTGGAATCATAATGATAACAGCTACTTTATATTGAGGACTGACCACATGCCAGACACTACGGTAAGTACGTTATATGTATCACTTCATTTTGTTTTTCCAGGACCCCTATGAGATTGGAACTATTACTACATTATTTTTACAGGGGAAACATGTGAGGCTCAGATGTGTTACATAATTTGTCCAACTTCACACAGTCAGCACTGGGATTCTAACTCAAGTCTAACTTAAATCCCTTACTTTTAATATCTACCCTATTCAGCCTTGCCAAAGAGAATTTTTTTCTTATGTACAAAAACCTATTAGGAGATAAAATTGAGATAAAAATGCGATTTAGGAACACAACGAAAACAGCCAATTTCTTTGATGATCACACTATCATCAAGCAGTGGACTCCTCACCATTGTTTATTTTTTACATTTTTTAAAAGTTTTATACACACACACACACACACACAGTTATACTTTATTTTAAAATGATAACATGAAATCCCTAAATTAGAACTACAAGAAGAAAACAACTTCCTGAATGGTAATAGCTCACTTTCAACTTTCAAGGCATATATATAGTGGTAATAGGGTTTTGCTGTGTTGCCCAGCCTGCTCTAAAACTCCTAGGCTCAAGTGATCCACCCACCTCGGCCTCCCAAAGTGCTCGGATTACAGGCATGAGCCACCGTGCTCAGCTGACCCCTCTTCATCGTAAAAGCACACCTGTCAAATGAACTAATTGCACATTTGGTTTGGCCAGTCAGGAAGCAGCTGAAATTGGCACATCTATACTCTGTAACTTGGGAAATGCAGAATGGTGTGTAGAAACAGCCCTCCCACTCCTGTTCTACTGGTTTCCAACAGTGGAATCCCCTGCTAGTTACCTCACTTTTCTTAGCCTTAGTTCCTCATATTCCTCATATTAAAAATAAGGATAATGATGCCGGGACACATGTGGGCTCCTCGCTCATAGAAAATGCTCCGTGACAGTTTATATTATTATTGAATTGTTCCGAATTTTTACATTCATTCATTGGTAAGGCAATACCTTTAAATCATCCTTATAATTTCAACACACTAGTTTATGCTAAATAAATTTGTAATGGGCTCCTTACTGATTGACTACTCCTGGCAAGGTTTTCTGTAACCACTGGTCACAATCATAGGATATATATTCCTGGATGTATGCCTTCTCCTTTTGCCTATTTTCAGTCATTCTTGAGCATCCTCCTGGTGTCTGTCTTACCTGTATTAGAAAATGTAACTGAAAATTATCCGTTTTTTCTTACCTCATTCAAATCTTGTACTTTGTCCCTTGATTTTTTATACTGGTTTCTCTTCTATCTTCCTATGTTACTGATAATCCAGGCTCTAAAATGGAAGTCTTAATCCAAATAAATCACCAGATACAAAACGTCAATCTAAAAAATACTGGGGGAAAAAAAAAAACTGTGTATCTTAAGCATCTTCCTCTGAGGTAACAGCCCTGAAATCGCTTCCTAGTTACAAGTTCCACTTCCTGTCTGGTCTTGGATCCTTTAGAGATTTGCTTTATTATGGATTTGAGCCTTTGCTGTTGTTTGGTAGCTGAGTCAAAGGGATCAAGTATTAGAAAAATATACCACAGAGTCCTGATCATTTTGAATTAATCAAACTACTAATTTACCTTTCTTATGTTTAATGTTAATAAAACAAAAATTACAATCCCAAGCTGATGAGTTGGACAGAATGGGGAATGCTACTAGAAAAATGGATACTAAAATTTTAGTGTAACTTTTACAATTCCTCCTGTCCAGTGGTATGAACAAAAGATGTAATCAAGAATCATGTCAGCTTAGTAGCACCGCAAAAGGATATGGAGAAGAATACGTATTTTTTTCCCAGAGTACCTTCTCACATCAGCCACCATCTGCACTGGTGAATATTTTTTCAAATTCACACATGACATGCTGATGCATTCAACACTCAAGGCAAACATTTCTTTATCCCCACCCTTATGCCACCTGAGATGCTTCAGTACAAAGTAGAAGAAACGTCTCAACTCTTAAATATGAAACTCCCTTCATTTTCTTTGTCCTTTCCTAGAGTAAGAATGTCATGCATTTTGATGCTGTAATTTTTAAAAGATGCTTTCCCAAAGAATATATATTTAAAATTTACCATAATTTGTGGCACATTGAATATAGTTATGCCTTTAGGCAATTTATGTACTTAATGAGCCCAGTAACCAAAGTTTAAACCAGAAAAACACAAGAAAGGAACAGCAAATAATGTGAGAGATGAGGAATGGGATACCGAGATCTCTGGGTAGCTGAGGGAGCCTACCTGACCTGCCAGACAGCAGTAAACAAAGAGGACTAATGACTTAGGATGGGTAGCCACCAACGACTCTTGAGATGGTGTAACAGCTCAGAATTTTCCACTTTCAATGTTCTACTCTCTGAAAGGTGGGGATCCCCTGCTGCTCTGAACTAAACCGTGCTTCCTCAACAAATTTTATTGTTGTCCCACTATGTGCTCGCATTGTGCTGTGCCCTCTCACAGGCACAATCAAAAGAAATGATGAATGCAGGCCCTGTAGAAAATAAACTACTGCCTGGTCATCACCTGTAAGTGGAGGCGGTTTATGTGCTCATCACTGGGCATGCTGCAGCCCCCGTGAGTTATAATAAGTCGCCTATATGAATCTCCTCTGTAAGTCACCACAAGAGTTGTTATGGTGTAGAAAATGAGCTCTGGGGGCAAATGAACCTGGATCAGCTCCTGGCTGCAACTATTACTGTGATCAAGTTCCCTTAAGTTCTCACAATTATCAAATGGGAATACTCCTGCTTACTTTGGGGAGGGCTATTATTGGGATTAAATGAGATTATGTTTGTCAGACACCTAGTCCAGATCATGACACATGATAGATGCTCAATATATTGTGGCTATTATTTTTCCTACCAGATACCTAGCATTTCTTCTATTTTAAGCATGTTCTCTGAGAACATGCATACTAACAGCACTAAGATGGTCTATTTAGTGATAAGTCTGTCTCCACAGAAAAATGGGTGAAGAACACAGTCACACCTTGAGAAAAGTGCTTGATATAAGAGAATGATTTCCTAAATTATTTTTCCTTTTTGAGCCACAGAAATCTGCTCTCCCCTTTATTTTCAGAATAATTCTTATGGAAAAACCCTTTACAGAGTTCCCCGCAGTGGAGATTTCTCTGACTCATGTGAAGGTAGAAGACCCCAGAGCTTTCTATCTATGGAACATCAAAGATCCCTGGAACACAGTTTGAACACCACGATGGCAAAAACGTAGGTCATTTTGTTTGTTTTTTGTTTTTTAAGAGACAGGGTCTCGCCATGTTGCCCAGGTTGGTCTCAACCTCCTAAGCTCAAGCAATCCTCCCACCTTGGCCTCCCAAAGTACTAGGATTACAGGCATGAGCCACTGCGCCCGGCTAAAACATAGGGCTTGTAGTCAGGTTGAGATTTGAAATCTTGATTTTTACATTCACAAATCTGTGATCTTGGTTTTCTCATCTGTAAATCAGGGTAAACAATACCTACCCTCTCAGAATTTCTGTTAAAATAAGTTATGTTGTCCAGGCATGGTGGCTTATGCCTGTAATCCCAGCACTTTGGGAGGCTGAGGTGGGCAGATCATGAGGTCAGGAGATTGAGACCATCCTGGCTAACACAGTGAAACCATGTCTCTACTAAAAATACAAAAAATTAGCCAGGTGTGGTGGCAGGTGCCTGTAATCCCAGCTACTCTGGAGGCTGAGATAGGACAATCGTTTGAACCTGGAAGGTGAAGGTTGCAGTGAGCCGAGATCATGCCACTGCACTCCAGCCTGGGTGACAGAGTGAGACTCAGTCTCAAAAGAAAAAAACAAAGTTATGTCAAACCCCTGGAGAGTCATTACAACACTGTAGAGGGAGACTCACATATTAGTTTCCATCTGTATTTGACAGGGTTCTTTGGAGAAACAGAACCAAAAGAAGATTAAATATATACATACATAATGTATATATAATATATATGTAAAATCTGTCTCTTTCTCTCTCTGTGTGTGTGTGTGTGTGTGTGTGTGTGTGTGTGTGTGATTTTTGCTTGTTTTCTAGTCTGAGGGCAGGGCAAGACTTATCTACCACCTCAAGCACTCTGGCAGAGGGAGCATATTCTAGGGAGGACACGATGGCTGAACAGGAACAGCTCTGATCTGCAGCTCCCAGCAAGATTGATGCAGAAGGCAGGTGATTTCTGCATTTCCAGCTGAGGTACCTGGTTCATCTCACTGGGACTGGCTGGACAGTGGGTGCAGCCTGAGGAGGGCGAGCCAAAGCAGGATGGGGCGTTGCCTCACCCAGGAAGCACAATGGGTTGGGGAACTCCCTCTCCTAGCTGAGGGAAGCCATTAGGGACTATCATGCACTCTAGCCCAGATACTGCACTTTTCCCGTGGTCTTCAGGAGACCAGGAGACCTTCCACAGACTAGGAGATTCCTTCCGGTGCCTACACCACTGGGGCCCTGGGATTCCAACACAAAACTAGGCAGCCATTTGAGCAGACACCAAGCTACCTGTGGGAGTTTTTGTTTTTGTTTTCATACCCCAGTGGTGCCTGGAACACCTGCGAGACAGAACTGTTTATTCCCCTGGAAAGGGGGCTGAAGCCAGGGAGCCAAGTGGTCTGGCTCAGCGGGTCCCACCACCATGGAGCTGAGCAAGCTAAGATCCACTGGCTTGAAATTCTCTCAGCCAGCACAACAGTCTGAGCTCCACCTGGGAGGCTCAAACTTGGTGGGGGGAGGGGCATCTACCATTGCTGAGGCTTGAGTTTAACACTCACAGTGTAAACAAAGCCACTGGGAAGTTCAAACTGGGTGGAGCCCATGCAGCTCAGCAAGCCCTCTGCAGCCAGACTGCCTCTCTAGATTGCATTCTCCCTGAACAGGGCATCTCTGAAAAAAAAGACAGCAGCCCCAGTCAGGGACTTACAGATAAAACCCCACCTCCCTTGGACAGAGCACCTGAGGGAAAGGGTAGTTGTAGGCACAGCTTCAGCAGATTTAAACATCCCTATCTGGCAGCTCTGAAGAGAGCAGTGGATCTGTAAGGACAGCATTCAAGCTCTGATAAAGGACAGACTGCCTCCTCAAGTGGGTCCCTGACCCCTGTGTATCCTGACTGGGAAACACTTCCCAGTAGGGGCCAACAGACATCTCATACAAGAAAGCTCTGGCTGGCATCTGGTGGGCACCCCTCTGGGACGAAGCTTCCAGAGTAAGAAATAGGCAGCAATCTCTGCTGTTCTGCAGCCTCTACCAATGATACCTAGGCAAAAAGGGTCTGGAGTGAACCTCCAGCAGACCTGCAGCAGAGAGGCCTGACTGTTAGAAGTAAAACTAACAAACAG